CATATACAGAATGTGGCAGGGTTAAATTAGTTTGCTGGTGCAAACCCTCCCACTAAACTGGGACAGTGATGTAACGGTATAATTACAGTGTTGAATTGATAACCTTTGAGAATAAGTTTATTCAAAGGATTGATAAGTTTACCCAGATCGTATCTAAACATCTGGGCTTGGTAAACAACATCTTAAAAATTATCATGTCCTATCCCGTTAGAAATAAGTTTTCTACAGGTACTGCTAAATTTCCAAATCAAATCTTTGTACCTATGGAAGAATTTAGTAAAGGTTTTAAGGAATGGGTGGTAACGAAATCCCTGACTTCATAATTTACTAGTAATACATAGATTACCTTCATTGAAGTCCAAAATGTCACTACAGACACGGATTAGCGATAGAGTTGTGATATATAAACACTGCAAGAATTTGTGCCAATAAAAAAGGAAAATTTACAATAGGGAACAAAAATTGTCCCTTTTGTAATAAATTTTGTATAGAGTTTCCCGTGTAAAAATGAAATATCTAAATCTAGGAAAGGACAGTTTTTACCGTTTATATTTGATTTATTTAAAGTAAGTTCCTTTGAGTAAATTTCGGCAGTATATTTAGAAAATTCTTCATTATTTAACGAAAAATTACCAAGATAATGGTAAGTATTTTTGAATTGATCAATTAAATGGAATTTAGACAGGTCTTTACTAGTTTGGTCATAAACTGTGATTCATTATAGTACAAAAAAAAAGTCTGCTATTGAAAGGGCGCCTAATTTCACTTAAGCATGTAACTTACCATTTAGGAATGACAGTTGGTCTCACAATCTTTACTATTAAACTTAATGTGCTGAATGATGTAATAGTAGATTATCTATATGTTTTATTCCATACAGTCAAATAAAAAAAAGGGTATGAAGAAAAAAATTGACATACATTAAAAATCAATCTTTTTCACCATTCTAGATTTTAAACATTTTGATTTTCACATAGTTATTTCAGTACTTTGCCACATACTAATTTTTCTTGAAGTCATTGCTGACATCAGCTTTGAATACATGTACTGCGCTGAATGTTTTGAACTTGCAAGATTGACATGTCTCTTTATCGTTACTATGATTTAGGTATTTAACAAAGAGGTTAGTAAAATGTAAAGTGTTTGAAAAGAGGTAATAAACCTGTACTGGATTATATAGGACCAGTCTTAACATGGTAATATGTAAATAATTTATTGTTTATATGAGGCAATACAACACTAAATAAAAGAATATGAAGATTATTTAAAAGTTGTAAATCTGCTTTTATGTGTTTATACAACTGCCTAGTTATAAGTTTATAATGGGTTTGAAGAGTTTGAAATATCACATATTAAAATTAGGTAATGTATATATATATATTTTGACTCTATAGATCAAGTGAACACTGAGCTGTCCACTTCAGCAGACCATGGCGCCTTGTTGGCTGAGTGATCTAAGTAGTAAATCTACATTAATCACAATGTATCCTGTCAAGTCTGAGGTTGTGAGTTCAAACCCCCCTTTATTGTGAGGGATATTGGACCCCTATCTTAATTGACAAGGATTACCATTTTTGACTGCTGAAGATCCTGGTGGGATCTCTCTTGTTAGTGTTACTCTGATTTCCTCCACAAATAAAAATGGGCCGCCATTGAATAAGCTAGGTCACAGTAAATGAAAGGCAGGCATTAAAACACCCAACAAACAAACAGACATCATTTGCCTTATTAATGTTAGTTAATACAATCACTTGATGACCTGACCGAGGGGACATTTAAAACTCAGAAGTTGAAGAGAAACTGACATTTACACCACGGCACAAATGTGAAAAGACATACAACAGTCGACACAAATTAACCCAACCAAAAACCATACAGAAGCAAAACTTTCAATTTGTTAAAACATTATACTTTTTAAAAAATAGTGTACTAATATTTCCCTGTAGTACTCGTAATGCACTGAATTAGAAAGTTCATAACTAGATTTTGTGATGGGTACTTATCAAATAACTGTCATTGATCTTAAAATTGTCCAAAGATATCTACATTCATAGTTTTTCACTTTTCACTCATGATGTTTAGTTAATTTTCATTTTTATCCTGTTTCGTATTATAAATTGAAATCTGACCCAGCTCTTTATTGTTGTCCATCCGGTTTCTATTATTAACTTTTTTGTTTTGTAAAATTTTATTGAAAAGTGCAGTAAAGCCAATTTATTATAAAGAACCTTATCCAAAAATTTTGACTGAAATTAATACCTTATCTATAGTTTGTGTAAAGTGTGTGAATTAATGTTTGAAAGGTAACTGACAGGAAGTTTTATTGAGGTGATCCCTGGGCTGGTTTTAAATGAACACTTTAGTATTCTAAATAACTGTTTGATAGGGAAAGATTAGTAGACAATCAGACAAAATTGGGATATTAATGATATATTCGTTGGTTTAAGTAACGTGAGATTAAAATTGTAAATAAAACAAAGTTTATCACTTGCCTTAGTATACTGAAGATTTTTCAATAGCATCAGTTTTGATGTTATATATATGTTTGAAATTATTTAGCTTCATATTAACAACCTGTAAGTCACAACTTATGTGCCATTGCTTGCATGGCTTATGTACAAGTTTAAATAAGTAGTCAATTATAAGGTATATTGTATTAGTATGCCATATTTGGTTAACAGTAAAATGAGATAATATTTATGAGGGTGTTGATTTAGGCAGGGGGGGGGGGGGGGGGGGATGGTGGTATTCTTTTATATGTTTTGCCCATTATTCTCTATTCTTTATATTTTAGCCCATCTTTCTGAAGAATTGGCCTATTATTCTCTCTTCTGTAAACCACCCTATCCAGACCCTCATATATAACAATGATTTTTTTAATGGAATGTGATCCTATACAATATTTCTTGGTAAAAATATGTTGTGCAGTTTTTGAAATATGTGTGAAAGAGCGGTCATAGAAATTTCCTCTTTGAAGCTGACAACTGTTGTACATCGTTATTTCAACAGAACTGAATATTCCTCATCATTAGTGCAAATGAACTGTTTTATAATGAAGTATCAAATATTTTAGTAACGTTGATAGGACTTTTGTCTATTTCTGCAGCTCTGATGCCTACATTTACGATTCAATGTCCTATTCTGCTGTTCTTGTTTATTTTTTGTCTGCTTGCATTCAAATATTGTTTAACTTGGAATCTCTATGACTATAGTGGGTACATAACTTTAAGGAGAAAGTATTGAATGCAATCTTGGTCAAGATGCTATATTTTTTAAATCATCAGAAATATTCCACTTTAGGTATATTTATGAAGCAAGACCATTTAAAATATCGGCAAATTGATATTGCATTTTTATTTTACAATGAAATCTACATAAGATATATTAGACCATATTATAAATAGTATAGTACTGACAGCTGAAAATAATCATTCAGTATACACAATGTTGCCATATATAGATTTAGGGATAATATTATCAGCATTTAAACCTTGCATGGTCATTTTTCACCAGTTTTGTTTTGGATATAGAGTTTTGTTTACTGATAAGAGAATTGTTTGATATTATAGGTTCATTTGTATTTGCATTGAATTCAATTTTTAATAAATACATATGGTAGGTAGTGTTATGAAATACCCAGTCTATTTTTTGTCAGATATGTTTTTACTATTGGGTATTTACCAATGAGTTTAGTATTGGAAATGTTTTTGGGTTTATTTTGGCCGTGGGCATTTCTAATGAAGGGTGAATCAAGAAAAGTACAGCAAATTCTATATTTATCTAGCTTGTTGTCTTTTTGATAAAATTTAATTAATACATGCTGTTTTATGTTATTGAACAAAGAGAGAAAATATATACATGGCAGATATATACCGGTACTGTAAATTCAGATTATTATTGCAAAAAATACAACAGGGTTGTCATCACAATAATTCAAACTCGCATTTTGGATTTTTTTATATAAATGAAGCAGGATTTTTCTCAGTATCGAAAAATGATAATCACATTTTGGTCAAAAACGACAAAATCGCAATAATAAATGCACACAATAATTTCTGAATTTACAGTATTGTATTGTAGTACTTTTAGGTTAAGCAGAAATTTACATGTTTCTTTTGAGTCCTGATGTAACCTTAAAATGCAAGTTCATGAGGTTCAGAAAAGAGTATATTATGAAAGATTTTGTGTTGTAAGTTTTGTACTAAGGATTATCCAAATTAGAAGGCAAGATACCCATATGTCATTTCCCCCATCTATTTTGAAAATGAACAGTAAAAAGTTCAAATCGAAGATGTTGGTTCATTTGTATGGCTCAATTATATGTACCTAGTTTGAGTAAACCTCAAGGGGCCACTTCAATACTTAATTGATAGGGGGTGCTGCTGTAGTTCTGTTACCCCATCCTTTTCATTTAATTTAGATTTTAAAAATGTATACCTTTTCATATATTAACTATGTCTGGTGAACCAACGCCTGTGTGAATCCTTTCTGTGGCATGAAGTGGATACCTTGGTATGCCGAGTTGTCAAATAATGCAAATGAATGCAACACTTAAATATATTGCGTAGGTAGAAATGTAACCTTTACCCATATTGGTTCGTTTTCACCTTTGCTTGGAGCTCAGATTCCTTATGTAATGTTTACTTACGGCAAGACTTTCGGCTGTGAAAAAAATACAGGGCATTCCATATATATATATAACAAGTAATGGGAACTTTATTGGCCTTATCATATATTTCTGATCATTTTCCCCAACTTTTTACATATTAACAAGCTGGAAAATGTGATCTATTCCAGCAGCACATTCTACCACCTTGTATATTGGAAGTGCCCCCCCCCCCCCCCCCCCCCCCCCCTCCATAAGGAGTAATGCGTAGCTCTAACTTTGCAGAGGAAATGCAAACAGACTGAAGATCTGCGCCTCATTTTGTAACATGCTTAACAACATGAATCTAATTATATATAAAATAGTTCAATGACAGATGAATAAAAAACTCAAATCATTTTTTCAAAACAGATTTATAGTTTAAAAGCAATACATACAACAATGCTATAATAAATAACAACTTCAAATAAATAACAATTGATTTTTACCTTGATTGTTTTATTAATCTGATGCATTATGGGAGATTTTGTTAATGTTTGAGGAAGGATTGAAGATTTTTGTCTTTATGTTCTGGTCATAATGGGAGATTTTGTCTGGGTGGTTTTAGTGAGGCATGCTGGAAGATTAAAATTAAGAAATAATTCATGGCAGCCGTAGATTTGGTTGGTATTTATATTTATATATTTATGTTGGATTATTTTATCCCCAGTGATAACGAGGGGTAAAAGACAAATATAAATGCCCAAACCCATGGTTCAATGAAAACAAATCTACGGCTGCCATGAATTATTTCTCTTCTAATAGGACAAATACAGTAATTTTGTCAACCATGACAGCCTTATACTGTTTTGGCTGTTCTGTTTTACACCCCATATAATAATATTATATTATTCAATAATAATTAAAAAAACTCACATTTTTCACCTAAAAATGTTCTTTTTATCTAATTTCATAACATTCTTACACTTCAGAAGCCTGAAAAGCCTGGTGTTTTACATTTGATGCCAAAAGCATACATATGACGTCACCTTGTTTAGTTGCCAAAGACGCAGAATTTCTGTTTTATGAAATTTTACACCGAAATAATAACTGAAATGGACAGATTTGTTTATTTTGCTTTAGAATAGAGATAACCGTATTGTAAATTTGTATTTGAAGCTTGGCAAACCTAAAATGTGGGTTTTACTGTTGCAAATTGAGTTTACCAGGTTGTATAAATAAGGTTGACGTAACGCAGAACAGCCTAGCTAACTTATTATTTATAAGTTTGTGAATCAATGTGATTGCACTATTAGTAGATATACTGTCATTATAGTGGTTGACGATATATAGATTGTCATTTTAGAATTGTTATTATGTTTGAGGCATGATGGGAGATTAATATTGTCTTTATGTTTGAGGCATATTTGGAGAAGTTATCGTTATGTTTGGTATGATGGGAAGGCAGAACACAGGTTATTGCATATTGATATGTAGTTCTATTTGCACTGGACAGAATACTCCATCATTTCTTGTAGTCTTTTTTCCTTCTTTTATTTGGATTATAAAACAGGAGCTATATAGTACACAAATGAAGAGTTTTTGTGGTGTGAATACTGAATAGGGTATTAAAGTTCCAAAAATGGACACAGATTATGTCTAAGTTCCAAAGCTTATGTATCATGTGTAGTGCATTAGCAAACAACATTTGTCCTCGGTATGTTAGTGTCTATGAATTTTATTGCTCTTTCCTGAGGTATAAGAGGTCACATATCTGCTGAACTCTTTATGGTTTATATACATTGTATCACTCTTTGTTTATATATCACAGGGTAAGAATTGATTCTGATTGGATATAAAATTACTTTTTGTGAGGTATTTAACTTTTTAAAATGATTTTATTGGGTTGTGAAGGATTGACCAGGGTTTTTAGGTGATGGCTATAGGCATTCAGTACTGAAAAACATGTTACATTTCCAAATTGCACCATTGAAATTGTTAAGATCATGATGAAAATTAATTAGATGACAAATCATCTTATTTCTGTTACAGCATAGCTTTATTTTCAACAGTTTCTTTTTGAATGACGTAGTTGGACAGTAGAGATTTTTGTACATGAACAATTTGTCAATCGTCATTGCAATATTTTTAAAAAAAAATATTCAAAAAGATACTTTGTATAAATCCCCACAAATTTGCTTTTTTAAAAGTCAAATGCATTCTGGGTAATATTTTCAAAAGTATACACAACTGTATTTAAAGATTTTATGTATTCAGAGCATTTTGAGGGCATAGCCATGGTTGTATTTCACAATTATTCTGGCATGAAGGACAAAATGACATTGTAGTCTCTTTCTAGAAACAGAATCTCATATAGAAAATTCTTTTGTATTTAACAATTTCAGTTCAAACTCCATCTTAGAATTAGTCTAAACAAGTTATTTGTTTGCAAATCAATTATTTTCAGTTTCGATATGTTTTCTTTCTGTTAGGAGATCTATACTTTGCAAGAGTAGGTCTGGAATTTTTAGGAATACTTTGTGATCTACGAGGTGAATTTCGTTTCAGATCATCCTGCATTTTAACACTTGCATCAGCAAGGTCGTTGTTTTGCTCTTTTAGAGCATGTACCATTTGTTGGAGGTTTAATAATGTCTTTTCTTTTTCCAAATGCTGAAGGTGAAGTCTTTGTAATCGTTCTATCTCCTTTCTAAGTTCATGTTTTTCCGATTGTAAATTTTTTATTTGACGGTCTTTAACCTCAAGTTCTACATCTTTGTATGAGTTTGTTTGTTTTAATTTTTGCTGAGCAGAAGACAAATCATAATTTTCCGACACCATAAGCTCGTTTTCTTGAGAAAGCTTTTTTATTTCTTTTTTTAGCTTTTTCTTTTCGGCAAGAATACTTTCAACTTGAAAAGCTAAAGATAGATTGTCACTGTTTTCCCCGAACAATGATATGCACTTTTTAACCTCACTTTCAAGTTTGTGATGTTGTTCGGCCAAGTGATGAATACACTCCTCCAGATCTTTTATTGTTGATTTACCGTTGATAAATCCTCCATCCATTGTATCACGAGGATTGATATGCCCTACACGTCTTTCAAGTTTTCTACACGTATCTTGTAACCATCGCTGAACTTCATCATTTAGACGTCTGTGGTCACGGACTTCACATACTTTTTGATGTGACTGTTTTTGAACTTCTCGAATTTGTTCCGTTATGAAAGTTTCAATTTGTTGTTTGTCTGATTGGCACAGTTTTCGACTTAAACTAAAATTCTGTGTCATAAAATTCCCAATTTTCTTCTTAACTGCATTAAATCCATTGAGAGCTATGGCTGAATCTGTTAAATCTTTTGGCGAAGCTACAAAGGAAATTATATTAAGTTATAGATAGAATGAGATTTGGGATATACAATGTGACAGCAAACCAAAGACAAAAAAAGGGGAAAAGACATTGTGGCGAGGACTTAATATAAGTTGTAATAATATTGTGTCCAATCTTATTGCTTAATAAAATATTATTAGACTTAAACTTCAAGAAGTTAAGATAATGGTCCTCAAGATTAGACACAATAAGCCAAGGTCAAAATGTCATATTTGACCTGATTCATTAAAGAATTGTTGTTTACAAAAAATTCCCAAGAAAAACCAAAAACATTTAGATGTAACTGAAGAAAAACACTAATGAAATTCCAGATGATTTAATAAAAAAATAGAAATTTGTAGTATGATATCCCTCTGAAACCAAAGGAGGAGGATATTAGCAACTACGGATGAGTGAGGATACAGTTAGGCCTTCAAAAATGAGCAAAACCCATACTATATAAGAAGCTTTTTTAAAAAGGCCCCTGCATGACAAAATAAAACAATTGAAAAAAGAAAACCAACAACTTAATTCATAACACAAAACAAAAATGACAGACAGCAAGCAACCAACAACAACTTAATTACAGGCTCCTGGCAATCAGACAAGCATATCAAAATGTGGTTTTCTGTGCACTCAACCCTCCCCATATTATTGCAATCAGTGGAAGAACGAGAGGTTCAGAGTTGAAATTACAATAAAAATAAGTTCAAAGGAAAAGGGATCTTCCTGTCAAAGTTCTTGGATTGGTTCAGTTATTTTTCAGTTGATACTAGATAAAACAAAGGTTCTTCTCATATTAGACAGTTATTTTTCAGTTTGTTGGACCAAACAGCATTAAATTCAACTTTTGAAATTTAATTTTGTAGGTATTTTTGGCCCAGTAAAAATGTCTTTTTTTTGTTGGTCCAGTAAAGAATGTACAAAAAATGACTTTGTGTTGATAAATATAACAGTTCTAATGTCATATACATAAATACAATGGATGTCTACCAAGCTTAATGTAACAAAACTATAGTCTGTATTTTATCAGGATATAGCCTTTGGATTTCCTGTAGATAACTTTAACTATGATCTTCTCTCCTGAGGGAGTGCAAACAAAAGCATTGTACTCTGAATGATTGCATGTTGTGAAGGCAGATTTTTAAACTTTTAAGAATTTAATTTTAAAAATCCTGTTAGCAGAATTTGACTTTTAAACTCCTTTAGTTTGTATATCTATGTTTGATCCTTTCCACAGATATTACAAGACACGTCCATGTGGTCTGAATGACAACAATGTATAGTATTATGACTTTAAACTCAGTGAGTCAAAGTATGGAGAATTAACTTAAATGCTTTGTGGAAGAATATGACTAATGACTTAATGAATCTGTACAAAACTGGTAGTGATAAAAAAGGAGAGATGTGATGTGATTGCCAATGAGACAACAGTTTTCTATCCACCAAATACCATGTAGGACAGGGATGTAAGATGCAGGTCACCATATTGCCTTAATTCTATAATGAGCAACACCAATACTATATGATACTTAAACTTGTCTTGGGATTTCTATCTTTTTTAAAAAGGGACACTTGAGACACAGATAACAGGTCAAAAGCCAAACTCTTCTAGCAGAACTATTAATGAATGTTGTTTAGCCTTTCTATATACTTATAACCTATCTACTACAAACAAAACATCAATATTAAGCAGGTATGGTTAACATAGGTTTCACTGTGTTTCCTATAGAAAGGTTTTGATTGATACAATTTGAGCAAGAGTTACTTCCCTTTTGTCACCATATTGGAGGTCTACATGCACAAATTTCTTCATAAATCAGCCAAATTCATCTTGCTATACTGACCGCTAGACTTTAGAAAAAGTTGTTTTCTTTTAGCCATGCTTGATTCATCACTACGATCTAGTAAAGATCTCTGATCAGACTTGTTTGTACCGCATGATTCAATTTGGAAAATCAACCATTCACCCCTCCAAAATGGTGGCTTACGGAAATAACTTAAAACTCAAATTCCGTTATATTGAAACCTATCTATATTTTTTATTCAACAAGTTGTCTCCCTTTTCTTGTTATTATAAGAGTAGTCTTCCATTTCTTGTAATTGTGGTCAAAGTTATCTCCCATGTATTTTAATTTTATAAGTTATCTACCATGTCGTGTAATTGTTGTAAAAGTTATCTCTCATTTCTTGTAGTTATAAGAGTTATCTACCATTTCTTGTAATTATGAGAGTTACCTACCATTTCTTGTAATTATAAGAGTTATCTCCCATTTCTTGTAATTGTAGTAAAAGTTATCTCCCATTTCTTGTAATGATAAGAATTATCTACCCTTTTTAGTGTATTTTTTAAAGATTTCTCTCCATTTCATTATATCTAGCTTTATAATGTGAAATTTTAATATTTTTCTATTTAAGAATATTATAAAATATGAATATACAATATTATTACATTGGTTTCAATGAATTACCATGATTTCCCAGTGAAATAAAAACCTATAATTTCACATGTGAAATAAACTCGGTTATTTCACTCCTCTGACGTCATACAACAATAGGTGTTGTCAAGACGTTGTGAATGCGTAGAAAAAGATATAGTTCCTTACATTTTCTATTTAAATTCCCATTAAAAAGCCCATTGTCTATGTAATAAATAGGAAATCTAATCAAAGAATTCAAATATCAAAAAATATTCAACTTGGGACAGAACAGCACTGATATTGAACTCCTTCGCTACTCGCATTTGTGAATAAATGTGTTGTTCAGTCACTTGTTGAATTTTTTCTATATTTGAATTCTTATAGATTAGTTATTTTATAATTAAAAAACACAACAATCCAACAGCCAAGTTTTTAGATAAAATTTACATTCAATAGAAAATAAAATTCAATATTACCTGGTTCTGTTTGTGACACAGATCTGGACACTGATTGGTTGATTTGAGTTGTTGCCACAGGAACCATTTCTACGTCTTTTGGTAGTTTGCTATTAATTCCGTTTGTCTGATTTGTTTGAAGATTCATAGATGTTGCCACCATTGTGATTTCCTTTTGTGGTATTTTAGCCACTTCCTGTTCTAAGTCAGATTTAAGTTTTGATGCCAACCAGTGATACTCTTGGTCAATCATTTTCAGAAATTTATTAAATGCCTCTGGGCCTCTTGTTGGTAAAAGTTCTAACATTTTATATGTCTGAGCTTTAATTCCTGGTTGTGACTGAAAAAAAAAGTTTAGGATAAAATAAAAAAATTCAAAAAAATAAATTCTAAACTGAACTCTTGTTGTTCTAGAAAGCATTTGTTATTTTGAAATTTGGATAATATTAATACTTCAATGAAAAAGCAGCCCCAATAACACAATAAACCATAACTCATCTAGAACCTTTCATATTGCAACTGACTTGATGTTCAAATGGATAAGAACTATCAATAATCTTAATCTGTTGGTACACCATGTAAACTTTATTTTAGCTGTATTGACTTTTTTAAAAAGGGGGGATAGTGTGTTGATCTTTTTTAGACATTCTTATAAAGACAGCATTTAAGAATATAAATATTTTATTGTCTAATGCCTATGATGAAAGTCATAAAGGGATGATTGCTTGTGAGTTGTAATGACAGAGAAACCTATTGGTATAAAACATTGTATTTCAAAACAAACTGGTATTATATAAACTCTAATCTTGTGTACAGTTGCCTTATTTTCTGAGGTCTTCTGGCATTTATTATTATTAACCTTGTTGACCTCATGTTCATGGTCTAAAAGCTGTTGAGGTTTTTAATGACTTGGTTTTTAAGTTTCCCTAAAATAATTGTGGATCATCCTTCCCATAGTTCATCAGTCCTTTTTTGGAAGCATATAGTAATAATTACTTTTTTTTTTATTATGTCAGTCAGTCTGTCAATATTATTACAATGGAGAAAATCATTCTTGTGTGGATAAAATAAAAACCTAATTGATGGAGAAGATAAAAATTCAACAAATACTTTGAGGGAAAAAAAGTTTGGTTCTGTCTAATGTTTTAAATATACCAAAAACTTGTTGCAATTTGTAGTTATATCCAGTATGATTATCACCTGATATTGATAAGTTATTTATGATTATCACCTGATATTGATAAGTTATTTATGATTATCACCTAATATTGATAAGTTATTTATGATTATCATCTGATATTGATAAGTTATTTGTGATTATCACCTGATATTGATAAGTTATTTATGATTATCACCTGATATTGATAAGTTATTTATGATTATCAACTGATATTGATAAGTTATTTTTTGTACAGAGCCAAATTACAAATTATTTGATTCATTAAGATGACTAATTCACATATGTATTTCTGAAATTTATAAATCAAAATAAGAGTTTTATGCAACTTTATTTTTATGCCCCCGCCATAGCGGAGGGAGCATTAAGTTTTACCCTTGTCTGTCCCAAAGTTGGTTTCCATTCTCTAACTTTAGTTTGCCTCAATCAAATGTTATGAAACTTATCCACAATGCTTATTACCACAAAACACAGATCAAGTTTGAATTTTGGTGGCGTCACTTTAACTGTTCTAGAGTTATGCCCCTTTACAAATGGAAAAATTGCTGAATTTTTCATTTCCGTTCTCTAACTTTAGTTTGCCTCAACCAAAATGTTATTAAACTTATACACAATGCTTATTACCACAAAACACAGATCAAGTTTGAGTTTTGGTGGTGTCACTTTCACTGTTCTAGAGTTATGCCCCTTTATAACTTTATATGATATGCAAGAGGGGGCATCATCTGTGTCCCATGGACACATTCCCAATTTATTTTTTAATTTCTGTATTTGAACATTTTTTTTTCTGGATTGAATCTTAATCACACTTAAATCATAATTGGAAATTTGGTTAAGTTGAAAAAATACAAGTCAAGCTTATTTATATATAGCAAATAGAAGTCATAATTGAGTAGCCAAAAGTTGTGTTAGAATAGTTTGAGCTTTGACCAGGTGTAAATGATAGCCACCAAGTCTATTCATTCTTAAGTAAGTGAGTCTGTTTGAATGTTTGTCTGTCTGCTCATCTAACTATATGTTTTTATTTGTGGGTGTTAATTTTAGTAAAATACAGACTGACTTCAGTTTTTGGCTCTTTTGTCACCAGGCTGTCAGAAAAATATTCTTAATAGATGAAAAAGATTACTTGTCCTAAATTAATCTCACAAAAATAAAGAAAAAAAAATTAAACTGTATTTAAATCTTATAGTCATGTGCCTGTCACAAGTCAGGAACTTATAATATCATTGGTTGTTTAGTTATATATCTTAATGTTTTTCATCTTTACAGAATTTATTGCTCAGATGACAGATCTCTGATAGTCTCTGTTTATTTTTTTAATTTGTAAGGTATTTGGGTCTTATTTAACAGTTGATTGATTGATGAATTGATTGTTGGTGGTACCTCAATGCCACTTTCATGCAGCACTATTGGTTATATTGTGGCGGCTAGTTTTTTTTGGTGTAGGAAATTGGAGTGCTTGTAGAGAAAAACCAACCTCTTGGCTTAAAAACAATTACCAATTGGCCTATTATAAATCTTACCCTGATGATTTCTATCAGATTTGTGTCAAAAAGTTTCTGTTGGTAACAAATCCCTAAAAAATCTTCCGTTGTCACAATATCCCGTGCTAACTCCATGTGGTTGTTTTGTAGAACTGTGCGCTGAGCAGCATCCATTATTCAGGTTTTCAAAGTTGAAATAATTCTCAGAACTTAACGTATCAACTAAGATATGTCTTAGATGTTCTATATTTCCTTGTTAGAATGAATTTTTAAACAGTTTGTCTTTTAACAGCATTAAATATTCAAATTAGATGCTGTTTTGTTTTATTCTTGTTTCAGTATGAAACATCCATTCTTTTAGTCATTTTGAAGAGATTTAATAATTCACAAATAACATGTATGATTTCCTTAACTTATATATTTAATTTCGGAAATATTTATCATAATGAACTAATGAAATAATACCTCGGTTTTTTTTTTTACTATGTGAAGGTTATTAATTTTGCTTATGTCAGTTTTTCTCACAAAAATTATTTCCAGTTGTTCGCATTGATTATGAAATCCACAAGGTTACTCATACAGAATTTTTGGCATTAAATCAGGTCCAGTTATATATATGTATAATTTAACACACGTTTGAGGGTATATCAGTAACAGAACATATTCCAAACTGTAAAAATTCCATTCACTTAATATCAAATACACAGAATGGTCAAAACAATATCCAAATGCTGTCTGAAAGTGCAAAATATACCACAACTGTGACAGAAATACTAAATGTTATGTCTTGTTCAAATAAATTTTAAACTATTATTTGTAAATATTACTCCAAACCTTGATTTTTATCTTCGTGAACAAGATATTTACCCTACAAATAATAAATCGTCCTTCAAAAACATTATAAATTATACTTGGCAATAGTTGGTCACTTGTGGAGTTTTAAACGCTATGAAATATCTTATCTGTATGTACATATAGAATTATATATGTTCCCTTTGACCCTGCTCCCTTGATAAGGTCGTTTTTTGCTTCTTTTTAAACATTTAAATATCCAAATGGTAATTGTATATTTAACATGTGAATTTGAATTAGTCACGTAATTCAATAAGAATACACTAGATATGGTAGATAATGTATTGTTTTATGGAGATGAGGCCTAATTTAGAAAAATACTTGTGTTTCCACTAACTCTACATACCCTAATTGGATAATTTTGTCATTTTTGAAACAGACAAGTGCACTATATTAAAATCAGACTGTTTCTCCTATTTAAACCAGTCAAAAACTATTAAAAAAAATATAATATATTGCCTTAATAAACCTATCTACCCTAATATTTTTCGGCATGTTAGCTGAAACACAGGTATTATTTCTTAGGCCTGACTTGTTGTAACGTGAAAAACTATTGTACTTTTAGACATGAATAATAATAAACTCTAAAGTAAGTTGTGAAGTAATGGATATTTTTAAATAAGGTTTTAGTTAAACTTACTTTAGGTTGTACAATTTGTCTTTTTCCCTCTGGCTATCATTCAAATCCAATGCAGATTACAAAAAACAATAAAATATAAAGCACTTGAACAAAATACTGTAAATTGTTGAAATTTCTGTGAATGAAATTCCTGTTTTCTATTTGATTGATTGGTTGATTGTTGGTATTTAACGCTACTTTTAGTAGACTTGGCTATTTTACAGAAGCCAGTTATCATTGGTGGAGGAAGGCTTCAGTATTTTTTTTTTAAATTGTCACAAACCAATTTCTTACAAATAATTTTTTTTAACTGTGTGTTACCCTAGTGTATTTGAATCAACAGTATTTTAAAGAGAGGCAAAAGATACCAAAGGGACATTCAAACTCATAAGCCGAAAACAAATTAACAACGCCATAGCTAAAAAAGAAAAAGACCAACAGACCAACAGACACACACCGTACACAAAACACAATATAGAAAACTAAAGACTGAACAACATGAACCCCACCAAAAACTGGGGGTGATCTCAGATTTCAGTTATCAATGTGTTTATTTGTCGGTAATGTCCTTTGTTCGTCTGTTTATTTGTTTGGTTATCTGTTAAATAATCTGTCTCTGTACTTTGTATCTCTTACTCCTCCTAAACCAGGGCCTTGGTGACTGAATGGTCAAATTAGTTCATCTACTATCTTGTCAACATCGAGGCTCTGAAGGCGTGTTTGACTTCAATCTCAATTGATTGGGATTACCTGACAGTTTTCCAGACGAAGATCTGTGATCCTCCCTTGGTACTTGAGCTTCCCCAACCAATATAAACTGGTTGCCTGTAATGATGTGTGTTGAAAGTGGAGTTTAACAACCAATTATCAAGCTTGACAGCCTGAACTGGTCTCTTACCTATGGCATTGTTCACCTGACATTTAATTTTTTGAAGTTTCTTTTAGCAAACTTATGTTGTTTAGAAATATACTATTTTAGAAAAAAAAAAACAAAAAAAAACAGTAATAATATATCTTACCAAGATTAGTTTCTGAAATGTTTTTAAGAAATTTTTGATTATCCCCTTCCATGAAGCAAGGGATATGAAAATACTGATTCTGTCTGCCCATCTTTCCAACATTTTAAGCACTCTTGCACCTACAGTTCTCAACAGATTTAAATAAAGTACATGTCAAAAGTTATCATCAGTGATTGAAAATTAGGGCTGATCAAGTGATTATTTTTGGTCCATTCTTAAAAAATTGCAATGATAAATGGACACAATAAATTTAGAATTTACAGTATAGTAAAAAAAAATCTCATCCTATTTCATACTAAGGAGTGACCAATTACTTTTTCATTTCAATAAATTTGAAATGGAGAAATTTGTGCAGAGTTTATAGCTATATCTTGACTACAGTACCAGTAATTCCCATTGGCATTTCTTTCTCCTTTAAAAAAAAATACGAACTGGCAAACATTTTCATATGGAAATAAAAGAAAAGAGACACTTTAGCAGTAAACACTTTGAATTAATATTGCCTTATTTAGCAGTAGTAGTTGAGATTACTGTTCATAGAAATATATGATATATATACTGAAATTTACAGTTCTATTGAAATGATTTGTATGAACTATACCCCCACTGTAAAACAGAGAGCTACCCAGGGGGTTATAAAAACCTGTACATATTGGTGTCATTCAGTAAAACAAAGTCTTATGTCAATAATAGGAAGAGTTTTGACAAGATTATATTGATCAAGGTCACAGGGTCAAACTTGTTATAGAGGCCCATGTGAATTGGGTATTAATTTTAGCAACCAGGAAATGAAAGCTGATCAATAATGTCATATGTTTTTTATTGGTTTGCATCAAATAATTTTTTATTAGTGTTAAAAAACACAGCTTGCCTGCTTTTTTCTCTGTAACATTGTATAATGAAACATTGAGGATTTTAATCAGTGATTTAATTTTTTTCAGTTTTTGCATGTTGAATATTTTCAAAAGTAGTTGGAGACTGTATAGTGACCAATATAGATGATTGGTCTCTGGAAGATAGTTGTCTCATAGGCAAATCATACCACATCTTCTTATTTTCATATTGTTAAAAAGGGGCAAAAAATGATGTTTGAAAGAGTGTAGAGTTGTTTTCAGATAGTTTAATTACAAGTCTGTCCTGGTTTAATAAAGGATTAGGGTAGGTGGCTTTCAGTTTTATCATATAATTACAGTTTGCTGCACAGAAGTCTTGACTGTAAGGTCCAGCAGATTCATACACTGAAGAAGAGCTGAATATATTAATTAATTCTTTTCTGCTGATGATCAGAATGATTTTTGACTCTTGCTCAGATACAGATGTCTAGTGATTTTGTTGTCCTATCTCAACCTCCATCTCAACTAAAAAATTAAATATTCTTTCCGTTCTTGTACGATTCGCTCTTGTATGTAACAACGTATTAGATTTTAGTGAGGAAAATTTATGTATTACTGAAAAATTATTACACCAGGGTTTTCGATATCATAAACTAGTCAAAACATTTACTAAATTTTATCATCGGTATAAGGACATCATTCGTAAATATAACTCAACATGCAGACATCTTATACGTTCGGGTATTTCACATCCAATCTTTTATGGTAATATTCTTTACAAAGCCCAAAAATGTCAGTATTCACCTCAAAAGCTAACAAAACCTTTAAACAGACTTATTAAGAAGGGATATAGTTACGATACTGTTGTCAGGTCATTAAAGATTGCATATTTTGGCTTTAATATTGATTCACTTATAGGGTCTTTGCATCGGAATTAAACACATTTATTCTAAAACCAGTTGTTGGCATGATACGGGTTATGTTCTTCTCATATATTTTATGATGGTATGATACTAAACCCCTAACGGGAAGGATTGTACTTGATTTTCATATGATAAAGACATAATCTTTCAATCAGTTTAATTGAGGTCTGGAGCTGGCATGTCAGTAACTGCTAGTAGTCCTTTGTTCATTTTGTATTATTGTCATTTTGTTTATTTTCTTTTGTTTCCTATTCTGACATCGGACTCAGACTTCTCTTAAACTGAGTTTTAATGTGCGTACTGTTGTATGTTTGTTTTTTCTACATTGGCTAGAGGTATAGGGGGAGGGTTGAGATCTCAAAAAAACATGTTTAACCCCGCCGCATTTTTGCACCTGTCCCAAGTCAGGAGCCTCTGGCCTTTGTTAGTCTTGTATCATTTTTAATTTTAGTTTCTTGTGTATAATTTGGAGTTTAGTATGACGTCCATTATCACTGAACTAGTATACATATTTGTTTAGGGGCCAGCTGAAGGACGCCCCTGGGTGCGGGAGTTGCTCACTGCATTGAAGACCCAATGGTGGCCTTCGGCTGTTGTCTGCTCTATGGTCGAGTTGTTGTCTCTATGACACATTCCCCATTTCCATTCTCAATTTTATTAAAATAAAAAATCATGGTGATGCTTGAACTTCTCTATAGGTATGGTCACGTTTGTAGATGCAGGTCATAATTAAGAGACTATATGAATTTACACCCCCTCTCCCTCCCAAAAAAATAAAAATAAGAGCATTAATAAATTAAAAATAAATAAAAAAATTTAATTACAAATGTATTATGGAACAAAAAATTAATAAATGAAAAAGAAAATAAAAAATACAGAAATTAAATAAGACGGAACATTGGTTCAAAAAGTGGCTAGCAGGATATAAGCAATACACTTTCTACACACAACATACAAGAGAAACCTGTATTGTGCCTCTTTTTAATGTAAAAAATCAATGTTCCAAAGCACTGTTTAAATATATATCAGATTGAAACAAAAGTTTGATCTGTCACATTGTAACGACACCTGTGTGTATATATATATATATATTGTGTGCTGCATGACAATTTTAAAGTTTCCAAAATGATTCACATTCTAATGTAGTCATGTGTATACCTGTTATGTAAATTTAGCAAGTGTGTAACATATGTAATATTCTGAAGCATTTAAATCAAATATAGGAAACATGATATATACTGAATATGTTTTAACTCACTTGATCATACCCAGAACTATTAATGCCACTGTGGCAGCAACCAAATGGTTATCAAAGACTTTTTTCAAAAACTTTTCTCCTCTGTGACCTTTCTTTGATTTTTTCTTACTTTTACTCTTGGGTGTCTGTATTAAGTTTAAACATCATGGCTAAATCTTTACAACTATCCACATGACTGACTTTTAAAGTAATAATAGAGAATTGCTAAAAACTTTAAACCTCATATTATGAAATGAAATTTTAATATTTTGAAAGCTAATATTAATTGTTAGAAAATTCACATAATAAGTCTTTTTGATAAATGTATTATAATTCAGTCATTTTTAGTCAGCTAATAAAACATACGAATATTTCCATTCCTTGTAAGTTCTCAAGATATAACATTAAATGGACTTTTCATAAAGGTAAAATATAGACCATAGCCTTTTAAAACTTGAAGGTCTTAACTTTTTAAAAACTTGGTAAAATGTAG